GAGGTTGATGGTAATGATGAATGCAACGATAATAATGAGGATGATGACGAGGGTTTTTCAAATGATGATGAATTAGTAGTAGATGGTGCTTTTATACCAAGTTCTTTTAATCTTTCTTGCATTCGACGCTCTGCCTGTGCTTTAATATATGCATCTCTGTCGCCACTATTGGTGGTATCTGAAGATGATATAGATGAACTAGATTTATGTGATGATGTATCTCTGTTGCCACCACTGGCGATATCTGAAGATGATATAGATGAACTAGGTTTATGTGATGATGCGTTATAAGAAGTATATCGACTTGTAAGGATGTTGCTGTCACTGTTAGGTTGACTAAATGATGATTTATTAATTATTGGTTTACATTTGTTTTCAATCTCTTGTTTTTCCTGTGAAATTTTGATAATAGAATCTTGTAATTTAGATATTGTTTTCTCAATATCATTAATAGTTTGATCACGAGAAGCCTTTTCTGCTTTTATTCGATTCGTTTCTTCTTCCAATCTTCCAGGGTCTATAACGCCACTTCCACCATTGCCTCCAGTGAAGCTACTAGTAAAAGAATATGGTTTACCAGCTAGACGAGCTTGTATCATCGCTTGAGCTTTTGCTTTAATGTCAAGTTCACCGTTACTACTCCCACGTAATTTAAAAAATTCTATTTTTAATTCTGCTATTTTTGTATAAATTTCATGAGTATCAGAAATAAGATCTGGTATAACAGTGGACAACATATTAAGAAGTTCAATTTCTAAATCATTGTGTTGATCCAATAAAGATTTTATTGATTTTTTTTCATTGTTATTTTTTTGCGCAGAATCAATTTGTTTTTGAATATCCTTAATTTTTATTTTCAATTCATTAATTTCATCATCATTGTTGTTGTTGAATGCTAAAGAATTAAAAGAATTTGAGTTGTAATTTGAACTTTCTGAAAATTTTAAAGCATCTAATATATTTTCTTTATCTTGAATTTGTTTTTTTAAATCTGCTATTCTTTTTGATGATGATGATGATGATGATAACCTATCTTCACCAATAGATGATGGTCGTTTGAAAGTAGAAGAATATGATGGTAATGATGATGATGAGGAGTAAGATGAATATGAAGAGGAAAATTCAGAATCGTTATTACGTGACGACAGTGATGTTGAGGGAATTTTATATCTTGACGAAGAGACGTAACCAATATCATCATCTTTATGTTTATAATTTGTTGCATCGTTATGACTAGTTACTGGTAAATTAGTAAAGCTTCTTGATTTCAAATAATAATTGTTGGAACCACCACCAGTGCCTAATTGTTGATTATGAATATCAGACGCAAGATAATTTTTGAGCATGTCCACACTTTCTGTCAAATCTCTCGTCGAAGGTGGTATAAGTTCAGCAGTAAGTGTGGTAGGAATTTCATAACCATTAAGTTTTCTATAAATCAAATGCATTGCAACAGCAAATTCATCTTGATTTAATTTTCCATTATTATTTGGATCAGATAAATGCCTTGATTTTATATTATATATATTAAATAATATTATTATAATTTTTTTTTTTTAATTTAAAAAAAATTTATATGTTTACAACATACCATATCTGCATTAAATCAGTTTGAGGTAAACCAGATTGTAAAAAAATTTCTCTTGCTTTATCACCAGTTAAATAACCTAAACCTGTAGAATCCCATTGTTTAAATATTTCTTTATATTGAGCTTTTTCTTCTGGGGTAACAGCCCAAGAGATTTTTGCATTTCCTTGTATTCCAATAGTATTATATTGTTGTTGCGGAGTTTGTTGTGGTAACATACGTTGAGTAAAAGGCAACATCTTGAATATCAATCTGTTGTTGTTTTTGCTATTGTGATGATGATAAAGAAAGTGCAGTTGTTGATAAAAAAAAGGGTAGTGAAGAAACTATCAATCAAATTTTTAAATATTTATTTTAAGATCGACTTTACGCATTTTTCCATTTAAAAAAAAATTTGTGCATGCAATTACAATCAAAAAAAAATTACGCATTACAGTCAAATAAAAAAGTTGCACGTATTATTGAATTGATGAATATAATAAAAAATGTCATTTGGTAGAACACCCAACATTGATATTTACAAAATAACTCCACCTGAACGTGGAAGTTTTCCTTTGGATCATGAAGGTAATAATATTAAAATATTAAAATATTAAATATTAAATTGTAATTAAATATAAATATAAAAATTATATTAAAGGTGAGTGTAAAAAACTTATGTTGGAATATTTAAAATGTTTAAAACAAAATAATGGAAATAATGGAAATTGTAGGCATTTATCAAAATCATATTTAAAATGTCGAATGGAAAAGTAAAGTTTTGATTGATTACTTGTATTTTTATTTATCTGTTTAATTTTTCTAATGCTCTTTATTTTGTTTTTTATGAAAAGAGGGTTAATGCTTTCTGACGACATGAAAAATCTTGGATTTCATGATGAAAGTAGTAACAATCAAATTATATAGTCGTTACTGTATTAAGAAATAAATAAAGTAAAATAAATAAATAAATATTATCACAAAACATCTAGTTATCTAGTCAATAATCATTGTCACCATTATCACTATCATTGTCGTTTTTTTATCAGAGTTAATTTCTTCACCAAGGAGTTTCTTCATCAGATATTCCTCTTAACATCACCTTTAAATACATTGGCATTTCAGAACCTTCCAACACATTTAATGCAACATGAATTACTTCTTCTCTACCATTAAATTGTCTCAAAACATCTACACATTCACAAATTCCTTGTCTTAGATACATTTCCCCAACATCTCTATTCATATATTCTGGTCCCATACGTTTTTGATCGCAAAGCCACATATTCTGTGGCGGAATGTATTTACTAAATCGTCGAAGATATGGTGCCATCCAACGTATAACCAACTCCCTTGAAGGCGTCACTGCCTCGGCCAAACACTCGAACAATTCTGGATTATATGAAGATGGATTTAACAGTGTGACAAATGCATCCATGCCACACGAAGAAGTAGGTGATTCATCCCATTGTTTAATCACTTCTTTCTCATTATACGAGGAAGAGGAGGAGGAGGATTGTTGTGGTGAACTATTATTACCATCATTTACTCTTCTTGTGTTCATGTTTGTTGTACGTTTTTTATATTGTATCCATAAATCAACTCCAACTGTAATATTTGACTTTAGAATAAGTAGAAAACGACTTTCTTGTGAGTCATTAGGTGCTGTATACACATTAATTAAGCGTTCTATAAATCTACGTGTGTCAAAAGTCATTTTATATTTAATTTAAATTGTAAATTATAAAGAATGTAAAATGCCATTAATTAAAAAAAGTAAATAAATATGAAGAAAAAAAATTTAACTTTATTAACGTGTTACATAACTTTTTTATTCTATATAATTCGTAAACAAAAATCCTTTTTGTTGTTAATTAAAAAATTTTAGTATTAGAAGTTACACTAATTTAATTCTGTTCTTTACTTTAGATTAAAATAATAATAAAGATTTTGATCAAAGAACTCCCACACCATGAATTCCCTGGAGGATACCCCACCCGACATTTTAAGTAAAGAACATGCCGAGTTGGAAAAAGAAAACGAAGATCTTATTATACAGCATAAGGAAGTAAATTCAGAATTATCAAATAAAAATACTCAAATAATCGAATTAGAGAAAAAAATAAAAGATCTAACAACCGAACGTGATGATCTTGTCAAAACTAAAGAAAGTTTGATTCAAGATTTAGAACATGTGCAAAAGAAATCACTAGAATCTCGTACACAATTGGATGACGAATTACATTTGATAAAAGAGAAATTATCTAGAACAGAAAAGAACTATGAATTGCTTGAATCTGACAATGCTAGTCTTCACTTAGCAAAAACAGATGCTCTAGAGAAATTAGCTACAACAGAAAAGAACTATGTCTTGCTTGAATCCGACAGTGCTCGTCTTCATTTAGCAAAAACAGATGCCCTAGAGAAATTATCAGATGTAGAATCTAAAGTTAAATATTTGTCACAAAGAGAACGTGTTCTCCAAGAATCATTAAGTGAAGCAAATAAAACGATTCAAAGTCACGAAGCAGAAATTGAAAATCTTAAAAAACAAGTAGCCGAAGAGGAAGATAAACGTAATAAATCACTTGCTTTACTTAAAAAGACCCAACAAAAAATAATAAGCCTTGAAAGGGAGAAGAAGGATTTAAATGAAGAAGTTGGACGTGCTCAAGATAATGCACGAGCATCAGAGCAAAATGTAATTTCAGGCTTGAAACAAGAGATTGCCAAATTCAATAAGGAATTGAATGCAAAATCAACACAAATCGTTCGACTTGAATCTTTAAATGAAAAAATATCAGAAGAAAAACAGGTATTATTTGAGCAGTTACAAATTAGACAAGCAGAATTTGAATCATCACAAACAACGCTTGAGAACTTCGAACATCGTTCAAATGAAATCCAACATCAAATGAAAGAAGCTGAAGAAAGATCACAAGCTTTAGAGGAAGAATTGGTTTCAATTAAAAAAAAACATAAAGAAAAGATACGAGAGAATGAAAAATTAATGAACGATATTGAAAAGATGGAACATGAATCTAAAGAAAAATTTAGAGTCATGGAATCACAAATTGAAACTTATAAAGAAGAAAAAGAGAAAATTGAATTAGAATTACGAGAAATTAGGCAATCATTTGATTCTAAAGTACAAGATTTAATGAATAGACTTGATTCTAGCGAAGCGGAAACAAAAAAATTGATTGTAAATTCTAAAGAGAAAGATTCTACTATTGGACTATTGTCAAAAGAAAATCAAACATTTAAGAACAAAATACAAGATTTAGAGAAAGAAATCAAAAATATGCAAAATGAAGTTAATAACGCACAAGAAAAATCAGTAAGTTTTATAACTTTTAAATTGTTGATTTTAGAAAGTAATTACATGAATATTATGAATATTAATAATTTTATTTTTTATTTTTGAATGAATGACATTCAGACAAAATATAATGAATATGAAACAACAATACGAAATAATAAAGAAGAGTATGAAAAAACGTTGGAAGATTACCGTATGAGAGAAGGTCATTTAAAAACAGTTAATAAAGTAATTTAATTTAATTCATGTTATTGTTGTTGTTGTGTTATTATTTTTGTATGAAACTTTTTTATGAATTAAATTTATTATAATGTTAGACACTTAGAGAAGAAGTTCGAAAACTTCAAAAGGTGTCTACAAACAACAACAACAACAATGATCGCAGCACACCAACTTCACCATCATCGCCTACTTATCCACGTCACTCAATATCATCCGCAACTTCACCTTTGGCTGATTCAGGATTCTCAAATTTAGATGATGATCTTAAAGTTAATTATTTTAAAGACGTATTTCTCAAGTTTCTTGAACATAGAGACAAAAGAGTATGTAATTTTATTAATTTATTTTTTTATTTATGAAAGGGTTTTTTGTTAATTAATTAATTTGCAAATATTACTTTAATAGAAAGCACTTTTGCCAGTAGTTTCTACATTATTCAAATTATCACCTGAGGAAAAGAAAAGACTTGAACTTAAATATGGAAGATAATTTATTTAATCAATTAATTCCATTTAGAATGTATATTAAAATATTATTAGACAATTATATATAACATTAATATAATAATAATTTGTAAATTTTCTATCAATTATTATTAAATTAGGTGGAAAGAATTGGATCTCAACATCAGGCTGGTAGTGACAGTCTCTTGACAGCAACAACCTTCTTCAAGATGCGGCAAACCTTTTTTAATGACAAGATTGATGATAATAAATACTTGTATGTCTAGTATATTATTTGTTTATAATAATCATTGCTGCTGTTATTAATTATTTTTTCTTTTAAAATAAATTATATAAAAAGAGGATATCTTTATGGATTGAGGAGTGGTATAAATTCATTAAATGACACAAATATTTCCGTTGCAACATCCAACATTATTATAAATAATATGAATAATAATGTTACTAATGTTATTGATAATAATTATAATAATAATAATGGTTCATCATCATCTTTAGATAACAGCATTTCAACACCTGTATTAAATCCTATTTCATTATCATCATCATCATCGTCAACATTATCATTAGCATTAACATCTACCACATCTACCACATACATACCACCTTCAAATACTCTAAATGTTAAAATAAACACTTTGATTCAAGATCCTAATACTGTTAATAATAATAACAACAATATTGACACCAACAACAACAATAGTAATAGTAACAACAATAATAATAGTGATAATAATAATAGTAGTAATAGTAATAGTAATAGTAATAGTAATAGTAATAGTAATAGTAATAGTAATAGTAATAATAGCAATACAAATTCTCCAAACATAGATGACACACCAATTTTAATAAACAATAATTAAATGTTTTGTTTTTTAATGAACTTGATCAACTACATATTTGAGATCATTTATATTTAAATATTTAATAATAATATTCCACTATGCAAAGTTTACTACTGTTATTAATTAATTGAAGGTAAGTTTACTCCAGAGACTATAAGAGTATCAAGTTAGTATCATTGCCACATTATTATTTCTTATTCTTGTTCTCGCCATCAATCTAGTCTCTGATATTTGTTGAAAACTTTCCGTTTAGAATTAAATTGGCGAATTTGGTGATTGAATATGTTATATGAGTAAATATTTCTTAGCGAGAGTAATATATGTAGAAAGATAAATAAATCAATGATCAAACATTAATATATTCTAATATCGATGCAAGACGACGACGAGCGCCAATAATAAGGAGGAAGAAAAAATCTGTCAACCAATCAATTTACCCAATTAATTAACCAATCAATTGATCTTTTTGTTGCCTAAACCATTCAAACAATTGGTTTTTTTTTTTAAAAAAAATTTTTAAGGGGCAAAATAATAAATAATTTTTTTCTTACTATTATATTAATATATACTTATTACAATTTTGTAATCTCCATTGCAAATTTGAGAATTGAAACATTCTAACCAGAAGTTAAACTCGTTTAACCTTGTAGAAATTGTTCAAAGGCAAGCAAGAAACACAACTTCGATATTATCACCTGAAGAAATGCTGACTTGGAGAAGGAAATCACAATACCTACAAAAAAAATTTAAAGAGGCAAACCAACAAAATATTCAAATAGATTTTGTATTAGTCTACACTTGCAAAGTCTTTTTAACACTTGGACATCTGGAAATGATATAGTTGATATAACTGCAAAATTTTTATTGATATTATCTAATTATATATAAATATAAAAGTATGATGTATTTATTTATATAATTGTAATTAATTTGCTTTTTGCAAAAGATTGTAAACACTTTAATAACAATATTAGAAAATATGTATGATAATAATCATTAAATTAAAGATTTCTTTATTATAATAAATAAAAAGTTATTTCATGAGAAATTAGGCATTTCTCAACGAATGAAAAGAGAACTTCCTTTATACGTTCCAGAAGAGAGTTCTAAACTTCAAATTATTAAAATCATCAAATAGTCTTGTTGCTTGCCCATATTATTTGATTGAAGTGATGGATGGTAAATTAGGAAAACTGGTAAAGAGAAAGAAATATACGAGAAGTTCAATATAGAAAAAGAATAAAACAGGTGATGGAAAGGAAGAGGATGATAAAGAAGATGAACAGAAGATATTAATATTAATAGTGATCTTATTATTATTGATAATGATAATCAAAAAAAATAGTATACGAGTATTTCCTTCTCCATGTAATTGCTCTGGTTGTTTTATCTTGTATAAATTATTATGTACTGTTTGAATCAAAATAAAATATAATTTCTCTTTGTTGTTTAATCCTTTCCTTGTAACAATACCCGTGATGGTTATGTAAATACATTTATTTAAATTGCAATAAATACTTGCAACAATAATGCCAAGCCATGCGACTTTGAAAAAAGCCACATAATATCCTGACAAGAAAACTTGTTAGAAAATAGCTCTTTGATATTTTTGTCCGCAGGCGATAAAAGAAATGATTTATGTTGTACATGACCAACACATTAACTTGGAACTTGGTTTTACTATTGATTTTTGGGCCTTTTAAATTTTTTTTCTAACAGAAAATATTTAACTAATCTTAATTTTATAATTAAAAACCATCCGACTAGTAATAATAATGTGTTATTAGTTAAAGCAAGTAACCTACTGTGATTTTCGGGATCGAAGTTGATGAATACGAATAAATGATTTTTAAGAAGTTTTGTAGGGGTGATGGTGGTGACCAAGAAAAAAAGTTTCAGATCGATAATGTCATACAGACTATGGAGGAGATGGTTGTCAAAAATATTAAAATATCTTATTATTTTCTATTTATAAAAAAAAATTTTAATGGCATAAAAATTAAAAAGATTAAACACAAATTTTATATGCTAAAACATTTATATTGTTCATTCTGTAAACTTTGTACAAATGCTTGCTCCAAATTCATCTTCATCGAATTCATTACCTTCATCATTATCATTTTCATCATTTTTTTTCACTATTGGAACCCTTATCTTCATTACCATAAAACTGCTCGAGATTTGTTCATAATGTTGAATTTCTTTCATTTGCTTTTTAGCTAACATTAATACAATCGACCAAGGTTTTTTTCGTTAATGATAATGTCGATGACGATAATACTAATACCATCATCAATAATGACAACGACGACTACATGAGCATTGGTTTGAATGAAAAGAATCTATGTACAACGGAGTCAACGAAACAAAAAATTTCGGAAACGAATATATTGGCATCGTATCCTATCAATTCTAGGTGAAAAAATTTTCTTTTGCAATTAAACTAGCATATAAACTATATTAGATAAAATGAATGTATTTATATAAATGGTTTATTTATTAAACTCCAATACATCAAGGACAATCTAAAAAGAACCGCAATTTCAACAGTTGGCAAATTGGTACCAGGCGAGAATGATTTACGTATCCAGTTATCACCATCGTCATCGACAATACTGCAATAACAAAAAAGGTTGACAAGAATTGAGCAGCACTAAAAAAGCTAGCTTGAGAACGCATTTATCCAATCAAACGGTTTTGAGTAGAACAAAGCTCTCTGAAAAACTTGAACATCAATTGTGATGGATTGAAATGCGATTCAACAGTGACCTTTTTTTGTATAAAAAAATTTCCAGTCATCCATGATATCATGACTTTGCAGAAAAACACACGGTTATATATACATCCATGTTACATGTTTGTTAGAACTAACAACAGCAAAAATATTAATGATTGCAATATTCGATTTAAAACGTTTTCTTATAATGATACATTCAATTTAATAAAAATCAAATCTTTATAAAAACATAAGCAATTCTATATATAATATCGTTTCTTTGATTTCGAGTTAAATATTAACAATAACTGGTGTGTATACTTTTTGAGGATATGTATTTGACTTTCGGCTATACGAGGCACAAGATGAATGTTGTTGTGGTGCAACATTAGATCTCACTCTTTCCTGCACAAATAGAATAGTTAAAAATTCCACTATGAAGCAACTTGCTTAGATGTTACAGAATAAAGAGTAAAAGGTCAGTAATGATGGTCAAAAAGTTTGCATTTTCTGTTGGTAATAATACTTTTTGATTTTAGATTAAAACCAAGTCCATCGTAAATATTCTAATCGCATTTTCTGTTAAATTTATATCTAGTTAATAGGTAATAATGATAACTTACCACAAATTAATATTCCATAAGTTTCAAGACCGTCTATGTAACCATAACGATCTATCATGTCAATCTAATGACCTCTCACACACGACATATAGATATAGATATATATTGTATTAAAACGAAATATCGATATGTCCGAGTTTGTTGATTTAACCTCTAAACGTGAGATAATAATTTACTCTTTACATTTATAATTCCTAGCCTATTTTGTACAAGTATAAAGTTAGCAGTCGAATTAATTATATACCAACTAAGATTAAGAAACGACATGTTTCCCGTGTTACTATTATTATTATTATTGAAAAAAAGAGATCAACAGTCGACTTCATTTATTTAGAAAAAAAAAGGTATTACAACAATTAGATAATTCTTTTCTTTGCGTCAAATTCTAATAAAAACATGAGCAATATTAAAATTCAATGTATTTCAATTATTAATTATAAAGTAGGTTACAATTTCCTTAAATCAATATGCTGTTTCATTGATACAATTTTTAAAATATAAATATAAATAGAATTAATAAGATAAAAAAATATATGATTTATTTTTATTTTTTTATAAATCCTTAAAAGAATAATCCTTTATATATTAAAAATTTTAGCACCACACATCCCGACTTAAAATATCATTATATAGCACATACATCATGTGATGTAATTGAAGAAAGAAGTAAAATTTCTAAATTATTAGAATATTATTACTATTATTATGAAGAGGAATAATTTCTTTTGGAGATATTAATTAATTATCATTATAATCTTTGCTATTATTATTAGTAAGTGCTGGATCGGAAGCAACTGATACATACCTTGGATTATTATATGCAATGGAAGATTTGGCTGTGTGAGTAGTGGTTACGTTTGTTGTTATCATTATCGCCATCATCTTCTAATTCTTTTCATTAGAACAAATCATTTAAAATTTATTATTTAATTATTCATTTATTAGATATGGATTTATAACAAACACACGTGTAAAATTTGTTGTTGTGTTATCGGTACCTGACGCAGTTATTAAGAATTCTGATATGAAAAATGTATGTTTCATGTTATTGTTTCGTTAAAACAAAATTTTTTTTTCTCTATCTAATTTTAATCTTGATTTATTAAAAAAAAAAAAAAAAAGATATTTAGGAAAATTCATACAGCGTATATAAATAGAGTATGTAACCCATTTTATATTATTGATGGTAGAAAATCTATTGTTAGTAAAAAATTTGTAGCAGCAATTGAAAAAATTGGGAAAATGAATGAAGAAGATTTAATTAATTAATAGTAATAATATTAATAGTAATAATAATATT